CTCTCTATTCGAACGTATCTGGAACGAAGAGAGTGTGCCGGCTAATTGGAGGGAATCGATTATTGTGGCAATATACAAGAAGGGCAGTCGCACAGACTGTGCGAGCCACAAGGGTATTAGCCTAACACCAGTTGTGACAAAAGTACTGACCTCGATTCTCGTTCGTCGCCTCACTGCGGAACGGGAATCTCGGATTAGGGAAGAGCAGGCTGGTTTCCGCCCAGGACGTGGCTGTATAGACCATATATTCACTTTGCGGCAGGTACTAGAGTAGCGCCACGCATACCGCAGACCGACAATAGCTGTGTTCCTCGATTTCAAGAGTGCGTTCGATTCAGTCGATCGATCGATTCTGTTCGAAATACTTGCGCGGAAAGGTGTTCCCACGAAATATGTGAACATCGTTCGTGCTCTATACTCGAACACTAGAGGCCGCGTCAGGGTGTATGGTGGTCTATCGGATAGCTTTCCGACCACAAGTGGCGTTCGTCAGGGTTGTCCGATTTCCCCATTTTTGTTCAATTTCGTCATGGATTCTATCATGGAGTGTTCCCTTGCGGAATCTCACGATGTAGGCGTTGAAGTGCTGCCTGGTGAAAGGTTAGTTGATCTAGATTATGCGGACGATATCGTCTTGCTTTTCGACAATGTTGAGGCGGCACAATCAACCCTGAATAGCCTATCCAGAGTGGTCCCATTATTTGGTATGCACTTCGCACCTTCAAAGTGCAAAGTGTTGCTGCAGGACCACCAGCCACTTGATGACCCCTTGACGCTTGCTAACGAGGAACTCGAGGTGGTTGATCAATTCACTTATCTTGGCAGCTGCATCAGCAATGATGGGCGCATAGAAACTGACGTGAGCTCACGCATTGCAAAGGCCAGAACTGCGTTCTTGAACCTGCGTCATCTTTGGCGACAGAAGGGAGTTTCCCTCCGTCTGAAAGGCCGGGTATACAAGGCCACAATGAGGGCCGTTCTGCTCTATGGTAGTGAAACTTGGCCCCTTCGATCTGAAGATCTGAGGCGCCTTCAAGTCTTTGATCATCGTTGTTTGCGAAGCATTGCTGGTGTCGGATGGCACCAGCGTGTCCGCAACGATGATGTGCGTAGGCGAGTACTAGGTGGTGATAATCATGCTAGCTCCCTAGAACAACAGATAGCACTGAATAAGTTGCGTTGGCTCGGGCACGTGCTACGCATGCCTGGTCACCGCTTACCTAGGAGGGCCTTGCTCAGTCTACCAGGTGTAGGATGGCGCAAGGCTCGAGGTGGACAGAAGTTGACTTGGCAGCGAGAAATGAAGTCACTGACGAGCAAACTGAGTGCCGTTGGTCCGTCTTGCCTTCCGGGTTGGAGTCCACCTGACTAGCCTTGTGCTTGGCTCGAGACTGCAGGACATGGCTCGCAACCGACACCAGTGGCGCGTCTGCTGCCGTCTCCTAATCGGATTGTCTGTTTAAAGTGTGTTTGGTGCTGAGTTATCTGCGGGATAATGGCTGATTATGACGCGTGGCAGTGAAAGCCGCAAGGAATCTGTCTCGCCGATGCCGCCTTATCTTTGCACGATAGCCAGCTGTTTGTGACGCTATGTTGTCTACACAAGGTGTAGGCGCCTTGACCCTGAATGTTTGTTTAGGGCATTAAGGTTTTCAGGTAAGTCCCCCTTCTCTCCCTCTTCTTATTCTTTATTTCATAGGTCCTCATGGTTGTATGGCAGCGAAGCATCAGTTCAAATGGCTGATGTACTGTTGTTGTTGTTGTTGTTGTTGTTATTGTTGTTGTTGTTGTTGTTGTTGTTGATATTGTGCAAAATCATGTAACGGGTCCTGAAACGGGCACTTCGGCTTCATCTCGAGAGGTTGGATCTGATATCCGGTGCGCAGCACGGTTTTCGCAAAGCTCGCTCCTGCTGTACCAACTTGCTTATGGCTAGAGAAAAATGGGCACATTCACTGGATGTTGGCAAGCGCCTGGTTGTTGTGTTCGTGGATTTCAGTAAGGCTTTTGATAAGGTCCCGCATGAGCAGCTTCTCTTCATACTCGGAGAAATCGGTGTCACTGGAAACTTTCTCTCCTGGATTTCCGATTGTCTGCACAGTCGTTCCATGCTGGTGAGAGTGAACGAAAAGTATTCCAATCCGTTACATGTGACCAGCGGTGTCCGACTGCGCTCCGTCCTCGGCCCTGAACTCTTCAACATATTCATCAACGATCTACCGTCTGAGCTTCAATCGGATTGCTTGATTTATGCGAGTGATCTAAAGATATGGAAGGAGATATCCTCTAGAGGATGCTGATCGACTACAAGAGACTCGATCTCCTGCACAATTGGTCGATTCAATGGTGCTTACCCATTAATCAAGACAAATGGTCCGTCCTGCCTATTGGCGCTCCTGAACCGTTCGGCGCTTACCACATAGGTGGTTTCTTGCACAAAAATGTTACTTCAGTGAGAGATCTAGGCGTGATTGTTTCCCCAAACTTGAGATCCACTCAGGACATCATGAAGAGAGTTGCCGTTTCCTACAGGATGTTTCACGCCATCTGAAGAGCTTTCTGTCGCCTGACACCGGAGGTTTTTAGACTCCTGTTCACCTCGCATGTGTGCTCGATTCTAGAATACGGTCTTCCTGCTGCCTACCCGCTTTCCAGCTTTGAGCACGACATGATTGAAAAGGTCCAACGGTGCGGATCGAAGTTTGTCTCCCAGTTACGTGACCTGCCTTATCCCCTTCGGCTTCGACATTTGAATATTTTCTATGGGTTACCGTCGCTGGCGCGGAAATTTGATTTTTACCCATCGTATCCTCAGGAGAGAGCTAGGGAGAGAGTTGCAGGACTTCTTCCACCTCACCTTTTGGAGTTCGACTAGACGTCACCGATGGAAATTATTCAAAGCAAGGAGACTCAAAGTGCGGTCCACTCTTGCTCTATCCACTCGCGTTATGAATAATTGGAACCGATTACCGCCGCCCGTCGCTGATGCGCAGACGGAGGATTGCTTCAAACGACTACTTGGTTCCCACTTGTTGAATATGCCAGGATCGTGTTGCTTCAGCTACCAGGGTGACGACCTCTCCGGAGTTTCCGTTGCGCCATGACGAGCATCCCAGCAATGATCGGGAAGCGATGGAGATGACAAGGGATCTCCCTCCTGCTCTCTACTGCCCGATGTACAATGAAAACTTGAACAACCTCAAACGCTTATCCTAACACGCGTCAAGCGAAAATGACCTGTGCGTCCCGTTCTCCTGAAACTATTTTCATCAAAGATGTAAGTGACGGAGAGCAATAATGACATCCGAGTGCTTGGAATGCGGCAAAGATCTCATCTCTTGATCGAAGGCGATGCAGTGCACTCTGAGTGAGGGATGGCTGCACACAGTCTGCTGTAGAATTGGAGCTGTTCTTTACGAATGCTTAAAACGCACTGATTTCTTGTTTCTTACTCTTTGCTTTGACCTCTGTCTAGTTGTGGTGTGCCTTAAGTCTCTCCTGGCAAGTTTGATCTCACATCTATTGCGATCCACTCCAAATCGGCCGGTCTTTCAGCCTGGCAGCGCATCCTTCACTCCCTTCTTTCGGCCCGTAGTCTTAATGACCACAAGCTTATTTGTAATCTGAACGCGCGGGTTCGATCCAGCTTACGGGATCGAACGATCCTCGCAGTATTTTTAGCCCACACGCTACTGATGGGGTTTGCACGGCAGCGAGGCGTCGGTACTGCGTACCGGCGCACTACTTATGCCTCTTCTGTCGATATCTACTATTTGGTCTGTTACTCGGGCACACAATCTAGACCGAGTCTCCTCCATTTTGTCAGTGAGACTTATTAGCTATGGATTGGAAAGTGGGCTGCAACTACAACTGAAATAAGGACCAAGACCTATGCGGCCGCAGCGAGCACGATCGCTGCCGAAATATCTTTGTTGAACCTGACTGAAAAAGACAGTGGTAAAAACTGTTACATGGCCTAAAGCGAAATCAACGCAACTAAAACTCAGTATAAACAAATGTAACTAGAAAAGCTTATAAAAATCGGGGATGTTAGGAGTTCCGGTGTTGCTCTATCCCATCACTGCACCCTACGACCACCAGTTTCATCCTGATTTGCGAGTGTAACTCGGCATGTAGTGGTTGGTTGTTATCATCGTGATCACTAAGTCATTGAGCTCCCCGAGCAGCGCTTGACACAGCAGATAACAGTTGAATGTTAGGCTTTGGAGCACCCGCAGATCACGCTGTCTCTACTTGCCCTAGTCTAAGGCAGGACGAAACCGGTCGGTCGCGGAGTGCAGTCACAGGAGGGAGCAACACCGAAACACTCCACTTCGGTCGGATATGATCCCAGTGATCGGAATGGTATAGGCTAACTTCAAAGTCAGCCGATGCCACAAATGAGATTGCATGTCGCAATCCAAGATACACCGGGTACTCCAAAACGCAACATATAACTTATTCGCGTTGTCAATAATTTCATTTGTCCAGTCTGTCGCACTTTTCACTTCAGTACATGGTTGCGTTTTATTAACACGTCCACGTCCTTTTTGTTCTTTTTATGATTATGTAAGTTACCATTGCATCTTTCACCGTTTTTTATCTGGCACCTGGTGTAGAATGCGATGGGGAGGCGATCAGATAGCCCGATTTTGGCTGTGGACTCGTGTCATTTAAACTTGACGCAACAGAGGCCTACTTCTTTCGCGCTTTGTTTAACTACCCCAGTGCACGCCGGGGAAACTGGTCAACACAATTATTTGAAAACGTTAGGTTTTTATCTCATGTATTTATCAGGCTTACCAATTACTACCTTCTACATGTAGGTCTTCATCGTTTCCTAAACGTTCACCTGTTTCTTGTCTCCTATTGGCATGGATAACAAATGAAGAATTCCATGCTAACTTTCAACTCCTTTTTCGAAACAGTCCTTTTACCCTCCCCCAGCGCTGGGCTAAGTAGCTACCAGATAACGTATCCTTCTCTGTTGTACATTTTCAGCAGAAAGTCATGGAGACACACGTTCAACAGAAACGGTACCGCGTGGACGAGGCTAACGAGTCAGACCCATCACCCGTGATTCATGTTCGTGGTCTACCTTCACACACACTGGAGATTGACCTTGTCCGCCTATTTGAGACTTTTGGAGTGGTGCGTGAGGCAACCATGCTACCACAGCGTAGACAAGCCTTGGTGGAATTCCTTTCAACTTCGACAGCACAAGCCTGTGTAGACTCGTGAGTGTGGACTTTACTTGAGCACGGGTAATGCAACTATTCCCATTTCATTAACAAAAATCAAAACCAAAAATAATTGCTGAGTTAATAGCTATTTTTGGCTAAACACTTAGCAGACCCAAACGTTTACATATTGCCAAATCAGGCTGGGGAATTGATTTCTAACTTGTTTGGACAGCCAAATCGATAACTCAAGACTAGGCTATTGATGCTAGGCCAATCGAACATGGAAACTTAGCAATCCCAAATAAATAGCTTAGGTAACAACCAGATAGCTAAGTAACAGTGCTTGTTGATCACGGTAGTAGTGTCAGCCGTACGAATCGCTTTAGCACACACAATTCCGGCTTCAGATAGTGAATATACATAATCTCGGCAATAAACAGTCTGCTTGTGGCGGCCTTACGAGAAGCGTTCAGGCAACGAGCGGATGACTTTGATGTCATTCCCAATGGCTATGGGGCCATAATCAAATAGGTGCTTTCCACATAGCACAAGATTTCATGCGACATTTTACACTCGGTGGGGCGAAAGAAGCTGAAATCATGGGGCTACTCGATCAACCGATGGTTTATGTTACTACATCCCAATTTCAAAGTCCCATTTTGGCGTCTGGTCTTGTACCGCTAATCGATAAGGTCTGTCTCCTCTTATCCGCTAATCTCCATGGTTTATATTGGCTCTATATCTAGTTGCTAGACTGTTGTGATTACATACATACATAAGGTCTGTCTTCGTGCAACGGACGCAGCAATATGGGCGGTTTCGGGAGTCGTTACGGTGCTTGCACATTGCTTGTTTTGTTGTGGGTTTGTTGTATCAGATTGAGATCATAAAGCTTAGACTACGAGTTCACTTTACTTGTCTGACAACACGCACTTCTTTGGTCTACATTGGATCGGCGTGCTCTAACAGTCGCTTAGACGGTATTTCGGAAATGTCTCTGTGTGCTCGATCCATATAGCAACGCGGTGTATTTTTGGCTGACTTTATCCTTCAGTTCGCCCATTTTCCTCCTGCTTAACTTCGGAACTCCGCTACACACCTGGTGGCGCTATCCATAGCGGCGTTACTCATGCAATCTGGTATCTGTGCGTACAGTTCACATCCGCTGGTTTTGCCAGCAAATGTTGTCCCGAACCATTACACCACAAATTTCATGTCTGATATATATTAAAGCGGTTCCCCGTCTATAGTGGCCTTGGAGTACCCCTTTGCGGTACAATCTGCTCGTGGTATCAGCTGGTTGGTTCGGGATTATTCTGTTCTGGCAAATAGTTCAACGGCAGTGTCCCAGAACTTGGTGGGTTTTCGCCTCGCAAGCGTTCTCTCTTTAGAAAGCTATATATGTCCGTTTAACAATACTGTAACCTGGCGGATATGACTCACCACAAAATGAAATCACCGCCCCTTATATCTCTCTGGGTGGCACCGCAACTGCATGGTGTGTTCGGCACCTGAGCCTTTTGTAGGACCTAAAGGTGTTTGGTCACTGACTCCCAACGGGTTACGACGCCCTCATATTGCCCTGGTGTATCGTAGGTTTGATTCTTGATCAAAGGCTCGGCGTAGAGCCCCCTAAGACTACCCGCTACTTCGGCCTGAGCAGCTGGGTAGTATCACGCCCGCTGACGAATCTTAGATAAATTATACTACTTCTTTCGCTCTTACTGCCTCTTCATTGCTTAACATCCACTCACAGCTCGTCCTAGGTCCCGTTCTTCAACTACACTAATGTCTTCCCCGGTCACCACCAACAGCGGTCTACTGGTCGCGCCAGATGGAACTACGAGTCAAACTTGGTGTTCGACGCTCGCCGATCACAGCCTTCTCACATTTCACTGATTCCCGGCTTTTTTCTGCCCGGTTCTCCATTCGACCTCGCAGCGTTCAATGTTTGCACTCTGGTGCAACTCGGACGGCAAGAATGCCTGGCTCGCACCCTTGAGATGCTCTCGGTAGACATCTGTTGCCTTTCGGAAACCAGATTGCAGGACTCCAGTATCGTCATCAGAATGACCTCCGACAAATCCTGACGCCAAATACCATTTGCGCTTTTCCTGCGACCTAGAGGCTGCCACTTCTGGCCAGGCTGATGTCTAGGTTGCATTGGGTGACAGGGCTGAGACCGCTTCGCTTGACTGTATCTTGGTCAACAGTCGCCTATGTGCAGTCAGATTACGAGGTTTGTGTAAGTTAAGTATCGAGATGCTAAGCGCACTTTCTTTGTCTTCTCCGCCCACGCTCCTACTGACTACACCCCGGATGCAGTCAAGGATTGTTTTTATCAACAACTACATGACCTACTTCGTTCCATCAAAAAGTGTGATATTATCATTCTTGCCGGAGATTACAACGTCCGAGTGGGCCGCATGTGACCAAGTGAGCACCATCTTTGGGGTAGTTTTGGCCTTTGTTTCAATTGACCGGACAATGGAGACAGACTACTGACATTTTGTTCTGACCATCGCTTGTTTCTTTCGGTCAACAGTTTTCGACACTCGAAGAGACAGACTGCCACCTGGCGTCCGCCTTCTCAAACGCAAGGATAGTCCCAGCTTGACCACATACCGATAAGCTACAGCCTGCGCGGTAGCGTAGCAGATTGCCGATCGTACTAGTCAACTTGTCTGGACACCAATCACGTATTGGTTCGCGCTAAGGTTTGCTTGCGTTTCGGAGGATCGCCCAAGCTTACGCACTACCGACCAAACATCGAAAATCTATAAAACCCTACGATGTTAGTCAAGAATCAGGCCTCTATCAACATTGCTTGCCTCAGCTTCTGACGTTGATCTGAATTCACCTTGGATGCGCATCAATGATGCCTCAGTTACTGCCAGCATGAAAATCTGTGGAGTTGCCCGTCACCCACCAAAAAGCTGGATCACCACTGCCTCCTTGTCGCTGATTGACAGCGACATCCCGATCCCGATCCGTGGATGGAGAATTGCGCAGAAGTTTGCAAAAGGATTGTAGCGGAGTTTTGCAGTCTTTGAAAAATTCCTCTACAACGTGATCTGGTTCGTCATTTGTGCTGCACCTTTTGGTCCCTGCAAACGACCTTTCATCGTTGTTGCGATGGCTGCTCGTACATCCTGGTCGATGCCCTCACATAACCCGGATGTTTGTTCACTGGATGTCATCCCTCCCCCCTGCCGGTTTACTTCATATACCCTCACCTTCGTCCAGTGGTCCACCACTTATCCCACTACCATGTGCTTGCCTTGGCAACTGTTCAGATCCCATGAGTTCCAAGCCTTTTCCGTTGGTTTTCACGTTCGCTCATTTGTTTGTCTTCATCGTAATCGTTGTTCCACTCACGAAATCTGATATCACCGTGTCCATGGCATTGTATTAAGGTGGACGCATGCTAAGCGATTATCAGGTCACCCGTTGACCATAGTCTTCGGTCTTGTATGTGTGTGCCTGGCGTTCACCGATAAACTTTGCTCGTTTTGTGATTGGGTCATGGTGATTGACGAGTGACTTTGCTTAAAGTTCCACTCCTGTACGGTCACTTTACTTGTCCTCTGGCGATCTGCTTTGAGCTGTAAAATTGACAGCACTCTTTCTCCTCGCTCGTTTAGTTACATTGTTGTTGACGGTGATACACTGGGACCCTGAACAATTGAGGTTTGCTCCACTTTACTCAACTGTATGTCTTTTATTAGTATCGCATCTATTGGGATCCAAACTTGTTTTGCTTTCGGGATCATTTGGCTGCGCGTCATTCAACGTTCGAACGGTGAGCGTTACAAGGATCGTGAAAATTGCTGGTGTGAACGTGCTAGAATGATGGAACTTGTTAACCTCTTTGGTAATACCAGAAAACTCTTCCATCTCATTCGAGTCACCGAAGTCTCCGATCTGGCGTAAGCGAAACAATCTGCGAAGAGGATGATGCACTGATTACTAATCTTCAGATACGGTTGGAACGATAGGCTGAACATTTTGGCTCGCGGTTTTGCTGGCTACCAGCTTTCATTTATCGGGAATGACCCTAGAATCAATGGATAACCGCGTTGTTTTGCATCAATGTAAAGATATCAGGGCCTCCGAATATGAGCACAACAGACAGCATTCCGTCTGTGGAAAAATACTGTGTCTCATTGAGTTGACCAAAATTACTAATATTACTAATGTTCAAAATTCTCATGTCCGATTGCTCGCATTCGACAGTATTGGTGAGATCAGTAGTTTTAGCAGAGATGTCTAACATCGGTCACATACACAGCACTGTGCGAAGGGTTCATTGCACACCTCACGCATCTGAGTCGGGTCTGCGGAAATGCTGTTGTCAGGCAGTGGCATGTCATGCGTGATTATCTCTTGGAGTCGAATCTAACCAGGTTAATTGAGAAATGCGTTTTTATGCACTCAGAAAGGGTTAATTTCCATCTGTAACACACGTGCTATCGACTTGGTAAAAATGGTAATGCAATATCGATAGAACAACGACGAAAACAAGTTCAGTGAGCAACACAATCCCACTGTCAAATTTGCCGGTTAGTTCTTGAATGATAGCATTCAAGTTAAACAGAAAACTGGTTACTCGGAAAGCCAGATGAGCCGTCGGCCCTCTAATGGGCGTATGTTACCCCATACTCTCGTCTGGTCGATGAGGGGACTATCAAGTACATATAATATCTGACAGTGCACTGTTTAGTGGGTGGCTATAATCCGTGAGTATTTCCAAAGCGTTTTATGCAGGAATTAACCTACTTGGATACAATTCTTTAAGTTAAAGTTGGCTTTAGAATGCGGCTGTAGCGAAACCGTTGCTTCAATGACCTATCAAGCAATTCGAATTGTTTACACTATAGGTCTGTAAAAGACAGGAGGGAACTAAGGTCAGTGTGGCAGATGTAGGTATACAGTCCAACCAGCTATGGCGATCTCCTGTCCATTGCAACCAGCCAAAAACATCCCCAACATTTTCTCTTATGAGTAATATCCATATGCATGAACCTGTCCATGGTTGGCGGCATACGGTTCCG